CAGCCATTTTGTGCCTTGGGGCACACACTTCAGGAGCTGCTGGCAGCTGCAGCACCCCATCAGGCCCCATGTGCCCCCGCTGGACAGCCTGCAGGCTGTGTTTGCTGGGTCTGTCCTGCTCCAAAGCTGCTGCCTGGCCACAAATGAGTGCTGCAAAGGGATGCAGTTTGCTACACCCCTTTCCCAGCCCTGTGATCTAACTAGGGCTGGTGGCCCTGCTGGCTGTGCCACCAGGGCCAGCACCTGCTCCCCACTGCTGCTCACCCCCCACTTCTATTTCTTTTCAAGACCATGGTGAAACACATCAGCTGTGACTCCCTGTCCACACTTCTGTCAGGGGTGCTGCTCCCAGCCCTCCAGGGCCAGCATTACAGGGCCAGCCATGAGGGGGTCCAGTCAGCTGGCATGAGGCATGATGTCTTTCTTCCCTGTGTCCAGCCCCATACCTGTCCTGGTTGGTGTGGCAGTGCTGTATTCTGGTCAAGGTCCTACAGGTCCAGTGGGTGGCTGTGATCATGGGGAACCCCTAGGATCATGCCCTTCATGCAGGAGCTGACCCACATTCTGGCACCCCAGGATCCTACACCCACACCCCACATCACCAGAGAAGGGGACCTCAGGCCTTCAGCACTCTGCCCTGCATTCCTCCCCAGCTGCTGTGCCCACTGGCAGCCATGGAGCCCTGGCGAGTGGCTGCCTCAGCCTCGGCCCCATCCTGCAGCTGCCCATGAGGAGCAGCTGGCTATGCCACCTCCAGCTGCCAGAAGCACCAGCTCCTCCTTGGGGGAGCCCAAGGCCAAGCACTGGCCCCCAGTCCACTGGAAGTCATGGACACTGGGTAGAGCCAGACACCACCTGGCATGGGGAGTCCCGCCCTGAGCCATCAGTCTTACTGCCCCAGACTGATGGTAGGTCTCACACTGGGGGGGTGGGTTCTCCCAGCTCTAGTCCCCATCCCTGCCCTTGCCCCTTGTTCCAGCCCCGGCCCCAGCCTACTCCTCACCTGGCTCACCTGCACTCCCTTGAGCCCAGGTCCCTGCCCCCTCCCAGCATGCAGAAATATGGGACACAGGTCAGACCTTTATTGAGCAGTCCATGTCCCCACAGCTGGGTGGGCAGAGGCATCTCATGCACCCAGAAAGGTGTCAGTCCCAACGGTGATCTCCTTCTTGGCAACCCGGGGCAGAAACATGTAGTGCTGTGATAGATAGCCCTTCAGGCAGCAGCAGATGTTTCAGGGCAGGCTGGGCTTGCCCCCCTTGGCATCATAGCTCAGGGTCCTGATCCAGGAGCGCAGGTGTGCCTTAGGCACCAGCAGGATCAGCAGCAGTCAGGGTAGAGGTGGGAGTCAGCAGGGCCTGGGGCTGTGGCAGCAGGTGCGTCCAGCAGTCTGGCCTGGTCCACCCTGGGAAGGGGGCAGGGGAGGCAGGTGGCCTGCTGCCAGACCCCAGGGAGCAAGTGGGGACAGGGGGCTTGCATGGCACTCATTTGGACCCAGGCCTGCCTGGCTAACTTACCATAGTCCCTGGGCACCTGCATGCAGCTGACCTCCAATCTGAGGCCAGGCAGCACAGGGCCTATGGAGCAGATCATCTTATCTCTCAAATGTTGCATACTCTAACAAAAGCCTTCTGTCTCTTGCCTCTACAGGGCAACATCTGGGAGATGCCACAGGGGCCCGCAGGACTGCCACTGGAGGCTTACTGCCACCCACTGCTGGAGCTGCCCGGAGGTGCTGGTTGCACTAGCAGCACAGCCAGGATGGGACCCGCAGGATGGGACCATAGGCTGGTGGTCACAGTGGAGGGCTGTGTGGTAGACCAGAGGGTGTGGCAGGCAGAGAACCTCACCTGGTAGGCTGCCTGGGAGGAGGTGCAGCTGTGGGTATGCCATGCCCACTGGGTGGAGCTGGCAGCTCTGGAGTGGTTGTGTGTGGAGCTTCTGAAGCAGCAGCTGGCTGCCCAGAGCTGTCCAGCAGAAGCTGTGCCAATGCCACCCCCCTGTGCCTCAGTCCCACAGGTCCTGCCCACCACCCCTCAGCAGGCCCCCAGCAGCACCCTGGAGCAGGTCCCGCAGCACTTGCTGGCTGCAGGCATCCCTGGCCTTTGCCGCAGCCCCTGGACCCATGGGGGAACTGTCTCCAGCTAGGGTGCTGGCTGCCTTCTCCCAGGCTCTCCACCCTTCAGCTCCTCACAGATGGACTTAGAGATGGGGTCAGATATGTGAAGTGCCTGTAGTTTGGGGAATAGGGTTTTTATTGTTGGTGGGTGGGGAGGGTGGTGAAGGGTGTGTGGGGAGAGGGGGAGGGAGCTGTGTTCATTGAGTGAGGAGGGGTTGGGGATTGTTCTATTAATAATGTTTGTATGGTTTCTTCTACATGTGTGCCCTGGAGTGGTGCTGGGGGTGGGCAGGGGGTCGGAGGCATTTGGGCGGCAGGGCAGGTGGGCTGGAACAGGGAGTGCAGCAGGAGGGGGTCAGCCAGAGTCTCCCACAGCTGGTGCCCGGCTGTCAGGTGCATGGTTGTCCTGGGACCTGGGCAGGGCGGGTCCTGGTGGGGTCAGCACCATGGCCAGCAGCAGTGCAGGGTACTGGTCATTGCTGGCTGGAGCAGCAGGGCACTGGGCACTGCTGGCAGGGGCAGAGGCTGGAGCAGCCATGGTGCAGGGAGGCAGGGTGGTCAGGGAGAGAGTTGCTGTGTGCTGCTTCTGTACTGGGCATGCAGTTCCTGGGCAGGGGAGGAGCTGGCCAGGGATCAGAGAGTTGGGATGTGCTTTTAAGATGGCTGCCAAGTGCTGGCAACTGCCTCTGGCCTCAGCATGGCTGCCAAGTGCTGGTAGCCATGTGACCAGAGGCAGGAGCTCCCCTTGGTGGCCACAGGAGCACATGGCAGGCTGATCTGATTTGGGAGTAAATCTAGTCCCAGGTTGCCTGCATGTGTAGATGCTGGCCCTATTCTTGTTTACTGTGCAGTAACTTGCTGTGCAGTAAGTTTAATGTGAAGTAAATGCACATATAGATGTGCCCACTGTGCATGAAACCAAATATTGGCAACACTTATGAAATAAAATTGTAATTTCACCCTAGATGATAACCGAATAGAAAAATCAAAATATACATATCTGTATTTCCATATCTGTCATGCCATATTAGGAACCTGTGTATAAAAGAATCTCCTGAAGCATTACTGTCTGTTTAGAAATGTTTCATGGAATTAACCTGTATTTACCTTATTATAGGGCTGATTCTACAAACACATACTCGCAAGAGTAGTCTCACTGGCTGCTGTGGGACAACTGGAAGGAATAAAATCACTCCTATGGATAACTGTGCATTTCAATTAGAGTTTCAATTAGAGTAGGGAGATGGTAGTATTCACACTGTGAAATGTTATCAGCTTTGCTCCCTCCCAGAAGAAGCAACCTTTAAGCAAGAACAAGGTCATTATAAAACTGAACAAGACAGTTTATTTTGGAAAATGAAACCTAGCTTTTCCTGGACAGTAAAATTATTTTCCTTGGTTTTGATTCTGTGTTTTCAGTCTATGTCCCAACCAAGCAATTTAACCAGCATCATATGTATATGGCAGATCTTAAATCATTCTGTCTTATACCTGGAAGCTTTTCTGCTATTCATAGGAACATTGTATCATTTCTGGAGCTGTAAAAATCTGTATTGTTCTGAATATTTTATTCAGACCAAAAAAATGACAAGAAATGATATATAATGTGCAACCAAATGTAAAAATAGATTCAATTATAAAGAACAGATTTGGATTTTTGTAAAAGATACAGATATATAAACAATACAATTAAGCATCATAAATAAAATAATATACTTATTATAAGTTCCAAAAACTTTTTTTTTTTAAAAAGTTAAAATGGAAATTTGTTTACAGATGCCAGTTAAAAATAAAAACACAATACAGTAGAACAATCATGCGTTTACTATCAAAACGTGGATGTAACAAGTTGTAAAAGTACCATAAATATACAGGCAAGTGATGACTTTTTTAAAAACTGATTTTATATTGTATTACTTAAAGTAGACATATTTCTCTCTACTCAAGATGACTCTTATCAAGAACAGATCCATGGAAACAGACACATTACTTTTTCACAGTTTAAAACATCTATGTTCTCTCTATGCATGTTATGGACATGAACAAATTTTTAATAGTTTCAGTTCTCTTTCATGAGCTGTTTCTGAATTCTAGCTGGGGCAGCTTATTAGCACTACTATAATGATCTTTCACCTGCATAATAATACACTACCACTGGATCTGATTCCACTATAATCCATAGCAAAATTCTCATTTATGTCAATGAGATGAGGATCAGGTCTTCTATTATAAAGAAGAATGCAAAAACTTAAAGAACAATCTGAATATATTAATTCTGCAACTTTTTCAATGGGTTCCAGGGTTTAAATGAAAGTATTTGATGGTTAGTCTATTTTAAACCACATTAATCTATTTACATCATATATACACATTTATAAATGTGGCAGCAAATGCTTGAATTGTGTTTAGCAGGTTCACAAAATTCTGGATTTCAATCCAAGGGGATTGCTTTAATGAACAAAGGCAGAAGAATATATATATATATATATATATATATATATATATATATATATTTAACATTTGATAATACTAGGACTTAAGGACAATGCTGGCTACTGGCAAGTAGCCAGGAATATGACAACCTTGAAGAGATTGCCAAGTGAAGCCTTTCAAGTTTTGTTCCAGGATTTTGAAGATGTTGCAAGAGGAGTCAACTCATAAAACATGATTTTGCTGCCATTGGCAATTTTTCCAATAGAACAGGATAAAGGGAAACAATATTGGCTGTGTAAACTGCATTCCCAGCCTGTGTGCTTCTCGGATTTCTCATAGGGAATTCCACCTTTCAAAGAAATCACACTTTTTGAAGTGCAGGGGAAGAAATAAACATTGCATGCACAGCGATGAGTTTTTGCTGACGTTCAGGGTTAGGCTTTGCTCCAGAATTTGTGTCTAACTAGCTACTGCAGCCTCTTGTGCAGCCATGTCCCAGTATATTGTTGTTGCGTCCATCCTGAAGCCTTCCATGTGTCTGAAGGGATGCTCTGCTTTCCATACTAGACGTCTGTCCACTTTGATCCTGCTGTTGTCTTAATCTACCAAAGAACAAAATGATAATATATTTTTTCTGAGCCCCAAACAGTATAAGGAGAAAAGTATTCCACCCATAGATATATGCACACATCTGTAGCCAGTGCCTAGCCTGGGCCTACTTATGTCCATGGTTAAACTTCTTTGATCTCCTAGACTTCTCTTTCCTGCTTCCCTTTCTTGTTTTTCTTACTCTTAATAGCGGGGAATTTCTTCATTCTGGGTGGATGTTACTTTAATGGTTCAATCCTGCCCTCATTAAAATACAAAGTCTATCCACAGATGTACAAAATATTACAGTTGTTTTGCCTCCAGCTTGCTCAGATTGAGACTGCTACAGGGAGAAGCAATTTGCTCAATACACTGCTTGTTTTGAATGAGTGGGAGAGTACGGGAGGAGAAAAAAAAATTGCAGTGGAAGAAGTCCTGGCTCTGCCTACTCACTCAGTGCTGATCAATATAGTTTGCCAGGCACACTACAGGGAATAAGCAACTGTCCCCGTTTTTATTTCTATACAAACATTAGCAGTCAGCATTAGGGCAAAAGAAATAAACAAATGGAAATGAACAAATGGAGTGTGCGTCTCATAATTACTGTCATGTTAGCATCTGATGAAGTAGATCAGTGTTTCCCAACCAGTGTGCCGCAGCATACTGGTGTGCCATTGGACACGTCCAGATGTGCTGAGGAATCTTCGGGGGGGGGGGCACTCCCAGTGGGGTGTGGCTACAGCCAGTGCTGTCACCACCACCCCACGCAGTCACTGCACCCCAGCCGGGCCCGTGCCAATACCCCACTAACCCATGCTCCGTGTTCTGCCACTTGTGCCATGGGATGAAAAAGGCCAGCTAATTGTGTCATGGGACAGAAAAGGTTGGGAAACACTGAAGTAGATGGTTGCCTACAAATGCTTATGGTTTTCTGAACCAGGTAGTCTCTCAGGTGCCACCCTGCCCTACCTTATGTCTGTTATATGTTGTTAAAGGCTCCTAATGTATTTTCTGATGTAAGATTTGTTTTCTTAAATCCCTTAGGAGCTTTAGACAATCATCTCCTATTGCTATTGTCTCATAAAAATGATAGCAACAGCAGGCATTTCAAGTGACACCCATCACACTAATCATTCCTTTTATCACAAGAATTCTCACTAAATCGGTTTAACAGTGTTTTGCAGTTTCTGCATAATTAAAATTTTGTATTTTTTGGTGTTTTCCCTTAATGTCCTAACAGCTAGAACTTCTTTCCCCTAGCCACTTGTGGTGTCATGCAATAAGCAAGTTTGGAGCTGTCATAGTTACTTTGAAGAGACTTCTCAGACAACAGAAGGCACACAGAAGTGCAGCACCTATCACAAGTAATAACACAGGCATATCACACACCAAGAGATGGTTTATAACTTGCAAGTAATACCTACTTATAATATATGTAGTTGACTTTTGTGACAGAGAATTATTATGAAACAAGTTTTTTCAAGGTCACAGGATGGAATCCACACCAAGAATAATAAACAAATAGAAAATGTTGAACGACATGAGAACCTTATGCCTAAATTAACATGAAACAACATAGTGACAAAGGTAGATACAGTATTCCCCAGTAGTTGACTTCAGGATTGGGTTCTGCTTTGCTCTCATTGATAGAGGCATCCAGGCCATACACAATATTAGCTGGGGTGCATTACCTTAATCCCAACTCAATTAAGGTTCACTTTATGCACCCATATCTACATGAGGGGGTCAAGCCACTGAACCCAACCTATAGCCAGTGCACAAATCAAGATTGCAGGGAACCACATCAACATTACTGAACCCCATGAGAAGGACACAGTTGCCAGTCACATCTTCACTTTCTGTGTGGTTAATTAACTGACCTATGTATCCATCTACATAGTATTCTGGCTGTTGTGCAGCCCAACCAAAATGCACTTAGATGTTTTGGTTCAAGGCATAAAGATCCTGGACATAAAACTCTTGTAAAATCCATCTATGGGTGCACATGTGCAAAGTCTAAGTAGAACAATACTCAGCACTGCCATGTTAGGTGCCTTAATGAATATTGGACCTAATTACAAATTTAGATCCTCCAAAAGCCCAATTCAATTGCACCTAAAGCCCATAGACACCTTAATTTCTGACATCTCATATAAGATGTCTGAAATTCTGCCAGAAGATTCCAGAAAAACTTCAACCTGAGCAGCTTGGTGCCTTTCTCATACCTTACCTCCTCCTGAAATTCACAACTTAGTGTTCCTCCACCCACCTTCCCTGAGGGGCCAACCCTGTTGGGTGATCTCAGCATAAACTTCATGGATTAGACTCTGCATAAATAAATAACTGTAGGAGGAAGAGGTTTATATCCTTTTACCTATAAGTTCAGTGGTTAGAGATCCTATCCAGGATGTGGAAAACCTATATTTAATGCCCTCCTTTTTCTGAGGGGTGCAAACACATAGATCTTTCCTGCCCAGACAGTGCCTTAATGACCAAACTGTGGATTATTGGGGTAGGAAGTACTTTCAAGCTCTCTTTTTGATGCTGTTCCAATTTTCATGGCCTGATCAAAGAATTATTGAGCCAGAGAAAGCATCACAGCAATCATAAACATAATTCTGAAGGCTAGTGGCTGCGGCCCTTTGAAGGGTACTATCGCTAGTACCACTCCCGTGTTTACAGTATATTACATGAACAGTCCTTGAAGCAAATATTAGAACTGGGGACTCCCCTTCCCAGTTGAGGAGCCAACCACTTAGCTATAGGCTCTTACTCCTGGTCTCTGGCCCAATCAGTCTTCGATTGTTCCAAGCAAAGTGGCAGAACTTCAACAGAAGGATCTGAGGGTGCTTTTTGATTCAATCTCTTAGAAAGTAGAAGCTGTGGGTCTGCCTCTGTTTAGGCTAAGAGGGAACTGAACGTAGGTCTCCAACATCCTAAGACAGTTCTCAGACTATTGACCTATCTGGATATGAGGGTAGCAGATCCTCCTGGCTTTCCTTAAAAGAAACCAGCAGATACTGTTGTATTTTGGGTGGAGACAAACATGGTAGGTGTGCTCTGCAAAAGCCTACTGGAACAAGCTCCTCAGTGGAGCTAGTGGATGGAACACCCAGTGAGCAAGTCCCAATGGTGGGTAGGTGCCAAGCTAAGCTGCTTGGAACTGTCATATAATATATAAATATATATTATGAAATATATAAATGAAATATTTAGGTATCTGGGGAACTTTATTGATGAAAATTGCAGGTATGTATGATGATTATGAGGCGGTATTTTTTGTGGGGATGCTATATGTTTTAAGCATGTCTTTGGATGGGTTTTTATTCAGGCAGGGAAAGGGTTAAAGGCTGGATTGTAGAGGGGCTGGGTGTGGTTTGGCTGATTGAACTCTGCCCTGGGGAATCCCTTTTCTGAGAACTCTGACTCTTTCTAGGGGGTGGGGGGAGGGAGGGTAGGAGATGTAAGTGGGGAAGCAGGAGTGTGCATGTGCCTGCTGGAGTCCACAGAAGCCTATTGGTGTAAAGACCTCAAGAGCGGAGATGGAGGGAGTCTGCACTTTTTGGTCTGCAGCAGAGTAGCTTAGAGCAGTGGGGCAGAGGCAACCTGTTGAAGGCAGCAGAGAAGCTGAGACCTTCGGGGACCAGGAGCAGCTCAGTGCAGAGTCAGCAAGGATTTTTGTTGGCCACTGGAACCAGTTGTGGACTGTGAAGTTACTCCAAGCCAAGGGTGAGAATTACAAATTGTCACAGTGTGGGGTCCCTAGAGGTGGCACGTTGCCCCTAGTGGCCTGTGACCATGCCAGCTCCACCCTGCAAGTGCCTGTTCCTCTCTCCTGCCATGTCTTATTGGAATAGATAATAAAATAGGGAAGCTGCCCTCAGGTTTCTGCTCAGTCACGATCCTAATGGACCCCACTAAAACCATGCAGATTCTTTAACCCCTTTCTGGGTCCTGCACTAAGTAGGTGCCTCAGAGGACACCCTAAGCCTTATGGGCTATGTGTGTGGCTCCAACACTGCCTCTTTACCATGCCCCATGCCTCACAGATGGTATTCAAACATCGTCTCTCTGAGGCCTTAGTCTAGCTTAGCCTTCTGCCATAACTGGGCCCTTGGCCCCTGTCTGCGCACCCCCACTGGCACTGGGGTCTATACCACAGTGTGTCTCAATGAGGCCTCCTTCTCCCCAATAGCCTCAGTCCAGTCCACCGGTAAAAATAACAACAGAAAACACAAGCCCCGGGGCTACAACACGACCATAACCAATAGGGTGGCCATCAGAGAGGACATTCTGGTTTTCTGCTACTCTGCCCTCTGTTGATATGAAACCTGATGCCTTTTCTCTTGAAGACAAAAATAGAGGGCATAAAGGCATCGGGTTTCGTATCAACAGAGGACAGCTGGACTGTCCTCTATGATGGCCACCCTAATAACCATACCCATGAGGTCCACACTCTATCCCTTTTAAGAAGGCAAGCTTCACTCTCAGTATAATGTGCCTCCTACCCACAAGTATTTATGAGCTCCTATAGCCCATTAATCCTACCAGCAGCAGAACAGGCAGTCAAACATCTCCAAGTAGCTTTCTGTACAAGAGCTCCTTCCCCCTTGGCTGCTGCCAGAGAACTAACTCTGCTAGCCCCAGTCTGGGGCTCATATGTACCCAGGACCCTGCTTCCTTCCAGTCAACTGACTGAGTGTAGGTGCCAGCTAATGCCCTCATTAGCCTGCCTCCCAGGCAACCTGCACCTGTGGAGCTCTGCCTAGCTTTCAGGGCTCTCCAGCTAAGCTGCTTCTGCCCTTAAAGGAGTAGGCACACTTTAGTGCGCTGCAACACAAGTGTTAGGATATAGTGTGTTTTAAACCTTTATGTTATGTTCTGCCTTCCCCAGTTCTATTGTAATGCTTTCCCTAAGTATTATCCCTATGTTTTTTTTATCCCTAAATTTAGCTGTCCTGTAATTGAGTATCTCACCTTGCAAGAAGTTTGTAGTCTCACAGCCTTGCCCAAC